AGACACTTTAGGCATTTGGGTAAAGTCTACCCAATCTTTAAGATGACAGATCCCATTTTTTGGGGGGAAGTTTTCTTATTTTTGGATTGTTATTGGCACGTTATACAGCCTTCAGTGATCCATTCTCTGAATAGATATTAGCAAGTATGAGCCCACCAGTAGGACTACAATCAGTCAGTCAAAGTATTCCTTCCATAGCAGGTGCTTTTCTGAAAATATTTTACAACAGCACAAGTAATGTTTTGAGCAACAGCTCAGTGCCCTGTGCATTTAATTTCTACTTATTATCTTTATTCACATGGATGAATCCCCATTCTCTGGTCCTCTCTTCTTTTTAGTGTTAGGAGCCTAAAATCAGATAAGTCTACACGAGGGATTAGAGAACCCATCATCTCATTTATCTTAGTGACTTGTTTTGCTATTATGTCAGCCAAGCAATTTCCTTTGATCATGTGAATGTCACCCTTTTGGTTTCCTGGGAAGTGCATTATGGTTACTATTAAAGTGGATGAAAAAATAAACAGACACTTCTCAAAAAGAAAAAAAAGAAATATGAAAGGTTAACAAGTATATGAAAAAATATTCAACATCTCTACAACTAAAGAACTAACTGCAAATTAAAATTACACTGAGATTCCATCACTCCAGTCAGAATGAAAATTATCAAAATTTCAAGTAACAATAATGTTGTCAAGGATGTGGTCCCATTTTTGGTGGGACTGCAAATTGATGCAACCACTCTGGAAAGCAGTATGGAGATTCCTCAGGAAACTAGGAATGGAACCATCATTAAATTCAATTATCTCACTCCCTCAGTACTCATTCAAAGGATTTAAAATCAGCGTACTACACTGACACAGCCACATCAATGTTTATAGAAGCACAATTCACAATAGCTATGCTATGGAGGCTACCTAGGTGCCCTCCAACAGATGATTGGATAAAGAAAATGTGATATATCTACACAATGGAGTATTAGTCAGCCATAAAGAAGAATGACTTATGACATTTGCTGATAAATGGGTGAAACTGGAGGCTTTCATGCTAAACTAAATAATCCAATTCCCCTTGGGCTGGGGATGTGGCTCAAGTGGTAGCGCGCTCGCCTGGCATGCGTGCGGCCCTGGTTCGATCCTCAGCACCACATAAAAAGAAAGATGTGTGTTCGCCGAAAACTAAAAAATAAATATTAAAGATTTTCTCTCTCTCTCTAAAAAAAAAAAAAAATCCAATTCCCAAAAACCAAAGGTCAAATGTTTTCTCCGATACACAAATGCTAACACACAATAAGAAAGGAAGGGAGAAGAGAAGTTCAGTGGATTAGATAAAGGGGAATGAAGGGAAGAAGGGGGGGGACAGGAATTAAAAAATACATTTCTATATACGTATATGAATACACCACAGTGTATCTCACCATTGTGTACATCCATAAGAATTAGTTAAATAAATAACTATGGCTAAATGGCAGAAAGATCAACAGAGGGAAGAAAGCAGGGGAAGGGGTTAGAGAAGGGAAAGGAGAGTTACTGGGGTCTAAATTAGAATGATATATTCCATGCTTGTATAATTATGTTAAAATGGATTCTGCTGTCACATATAACTAAAAAGAACCAATTAAAAAAAGATTACTAGAGTTAAACAATGACTTTCTAAGATAACATAGTTAAAGATCAGGATTATTGATTACATCTGTGATTATTTTAATACAGAAAACCTCTTAAAAAAAATAAAGGGGATGAGACCACTCGAGCAAGGTCAAAATTTTCTGCTGGGTGTTTAATGTCTTTATGTCAGTGGTAAGTAACTCATGTGTCAAGGATATTCTTGTAAAGAAATGTAAAGAAGCGAACAGAAGAAAGAGACACACATACAGTGCAAAGAAGACCAAGCGGCTGTTCCTCTCCACAGCCACATTTATTATACCCCCAAATTACAAGGCTCCTGTTACCATGACTACATTTTAACTTAGTATTTCTTTAACCCAAGTGCTAGCTAACCAAGATAAGACACAGGTTAATACAAACACAGAGCCCCTTCTCTCCAAGGACATCACCATGGAAACTAGATAGCACACCTGCATAGTTATCCTAATAGCTTCAGGGGGAAACTTCTGGGCATTCCAATCTCGGGAATCAGGGCACCAGTTACCCCTGGGAGTTTGCTCACCACGGGGAACGCTTCCCTGTCTATTTCCATGGTCAGAATACCTACACCCATACTCTCACAGATGGCCCCATGCAGAACCAGAAAGGCACACCTGGAATCCCTGTAAGCGTTAACCTTCCTCCCGGTAAACAATTATAGTGCCCTTTCAATGTAATGAGTTCCACCTTCTGGGCCAATGTCCCAGGTGATAGGGGCTTTGCCTTTTCACCTATTTACCTCTGTCACCTGTTATCCTGCATGTTAGCACCCTTGATCCGTGGAGCTGCATCCATTGGTGAAGAGCTCTGTGTCAGCTTTATGTCAATGTGACTAAAAATATCCAAAAGACCAACTTTGAAGAGAAAAAATTTATTTGGGGCTCATGTATCAAGGTTCAGTCCATGGTCGACTGACTTCATCACTTTGGAGTAAGGTGAGGCAGAACATCATGGCAGAGGGGCAGTGGTAGAGGAAAGCTACTCAGCTTGTGGACACCAGGAAGCATCGAGAGAGGGAAAGGGGCCTCAGGGAAGATGGCCCCTTTCGGGAACACCCACTGGAGAACCCCCTTTTGCAGCCATGCCCTACCTGTCTACAGTCACCACCCAGACAGTCCATTCAAATTAGGATGGACTGATTAGGTTACAGCTATCATAGTTCAATCATTTTACCTCTGAATATTCCTGCATTAACATAGGAACTTTTGGGGGACACCTCCTATCCAAACCATAACAAGCTCCCAATCCAGTTGTTCCAGTGGTTGATCTACCATGTCAGATCTTTTGGAAAAGAGTAAGTCTACAGTTTCTATGTAGTTATGCTATGTACTATGTTCTAGTGTGTGTTTGTCTTGGCTAAGGAGCAGAGTGGTAGGATTTAAAGCAGAAGCCATCCCAACTTTAACATTCAGATTGTCTAGTAAATTATCCTGACATTTAACCATTCTTCTAGCTCTTATCCAATAGTCACTCTTCTTCTCTAAAGGAGTCCATACCTAGTGGGAACAATCACCATCACTGGTTATCCCAGGTGAACTTTTCAGCATCAGGTAAAATGTTACAAGTTGTGGCTACAGTTCTGACACAGGGGCCATCCTTTCACACTTTTACAGTTTGTTCTAGCAGTTTGGATTAGAAGCGATTTATTGGGAGAATATCCACTAGCATATGGATCAACACTATGAACCCAATCCCTGAACTGCCATCCTGCGAGGAGCTTGGATTTATTTATTTATTTATTTATTTTAAAGATTTCTCACTTTTTTTTTTTTTTTTTAAGAGAGAGTGAGGGGGGGGGGCAGAGAGAGAGAGAGAATTTTAACATTTATTTAGTTTTTCTTAGTTCTCGGTGGACACAACATCTTCGTTTGTATGTGGTGCTGAGGATCGAACCCGGGCCGCACACATTCCAGGCGAGCGCACTACTGCTTGAGCCACATCCCCACCCCGAGGAGCTTGGATTTAAAGGGTTAAATCCAAGGCTAAAAGGGTCAGAGTCCAAATCCTTTAAGGCTTCCTATAATGGAAGCCTATTAATTCATGATCAGGGACTTCTTTGGTCAAATAAGGTGGGCGAGTTTTTGCTTGTTATTCCTGGGGTCTTGCATGCCCCTGCATTAGGCCTTCCTTTCTCAAGTTCAGGTGGTGGCAGTCCTGGTTTTATCTCAAGTATCCCCAGAAGGGCCATCTGTAAACTTAGGGATTGTTCTGAAGGAACACTGTATTGGAGCTTTCCTGGGGCAAAAGTCACTTATGCATTTAGTTTGCAGAGATCTTAGCCTAGGAGCAATGGAGCATTCCAGTAGATAGGGAGGTCTTTCAGAGTCAGGTCCCTATCTGACATTACAATGACTGCAGAAAAGAATGGTCCTGGATTTCTTCAGAGACCCTAATAATCTTAAGTCCATGTATAACATCAGTGTTAAAAAAAATTGATTAGTTTGTTCCCCACTGTCGTTTTGCCCCAGGGATTTCTGTGGGAAAACCTGAATCAAATGCTTCAAGTCCAAAGGAACCTCTGGGCATCCTGAGTCCATAGGAGGCTCCCTGACCAAACTGAGTTTCCTGTTGGTATGGGAGACTGAAACTCCATCTGCTGTTTCAGCCCTCTTCTCCTTTTTTGGTACCAGGGATTGAACTCAGGGGTGCTCAACCACTAAGCCACATTCTTAGCCCTTTTTATTTTTTATTTTGAGACAGGGCCTTGCTAAGGTACTGAGGCTGGACTCCAACTTGTGATCCTCCTGCCTCAGCCTCCTGAGCTCCTGGGTTTACAGGAATGTGCCACCATACCATGCCAGCCTCTTCTCTTATTAAACTTCCTCATAAAAATTTATTTTCATACTTATAACTTTTTCTCTCTCTCTCCTTTGTTTCTGCTTTCTTTTTTCCTTTACATTTTGAAGGAACCCTTACATAATTTCTGAATTTAGAACAAAATTACTTTTTCTCAATGAAATAATACATTTTATATTTTCTTATAGTTTTCTCATCAAAACAGCTAATTTCTTCTTGTATTCTTTGTATATAGAATTATAAATGTGTTTTAAGTCAGCTTTTTTTTTTTTTTTGCTGCTGTGACTAAAGACGTGATACGAACAATTTTAGAGGATAAAAAGTTTATTTGAGGGCTCACAGTTTTATTATTTATTTATTTTTTTAAAGAGAGAGGGAGAGAGAGAGAATTTTAATATTTATTATTTATAATACATTTATCGGCAGGCACAACATCTTTATATCTAAATATTTACAATATTTATTGGCAGACACAACATCTTTGTTTGTATGTGGTGCTGAGAATCGAACCCAGGCCGCACGCACGGAGGGCGCGCTACCACTTGAGCCACATCTCCAGCCCAGGATCACAGTTTCAGAGGTCTCAGTCCATAGGCAGCTGGCTCCATTCCTCCATGCTTGAGGTAAGGCAGAACATCACAATGGAAGAGTGTGTGGCGGGAAGCAGCTCATGTGATGATTAGACAACAAAGAGAAACTCTGATCATCAGATAAAAAATGTATACTCCAAAGACACTCACCCAGGGACCAAAACCACACCCTGCCCACCTACAGCTTCCACTCACTTAATCCCATGGGGGATCAATTCACTGATGGGGTTAAGACTCTAATAATCCAGTCATTTCTCTCCAAAACCTTGCATTGTCTTACATGTGAGCTTTTGGGAGACACCTCTCATCCAAACCATAGCAACATGTAAATTTTGTTTACATACCAACAATTTATGAAAACACATTTATTAATAGACACGAATATATATTGTTTTTCCAGGAGTACTTGAGTTTATATTAAACAATTGATTTGTTTCAGTATTCTAATTTACTTAGAAATGACTCACATGTTTTAACTCTATAGTATAATTACAAACCCTTTATCCCATTTATATTTATCTAATGTGTTTTTTATTATTTTTTTTAAAAAAATTAGTTGTTGATTGACTTTTGTTTATTTACTTATATGTGGTACTGAGAATTAAACCCAGTACCTCACACACTAAGCAAGTACTCCACCAACTGAGCCACAACCGCAGCCTTAACATTTATTTTTAATGATTATTCCTAGATAACTTATGAAAACTGAGATAGCAGACAAGCATAAGTCATTATTCCAAGTTTAAAGAACACCTAAAAGTTGCTGTATTTGAAATGCAAAGAAGTGGCAATTGTATTGTACTTTCTTTTATTTATTTTTACTATTTTTAGTTGTAGATAAGCACACTTTTGTTTTGTTTATTTATTTATTTTTATGTGGTGCTGAGGATCGAACCCAGTGCCTCAAGTGTGCTAGGCAAGTGCTTTACCACTGAGCCACAACCTCAGCCCCTGTACTTTCTTTCATATATTTGTTTTTAGCTCTTAAACATCTAAAAGATAAAAATATGGTCTCAAAAGCCTGTAACCCTAGCAACTTGGGAAACTGAGGCAGGAGGAACACAAATTGGAGGCCAGCCTCAGCAATTTATTGAGGCCCTAAGCAACTGAATAAGACTCTTTCTCAAAAAAGAAAAAAGAAAAAGAAAAAAAGAAATGTGTGTGGGGGGCTGGCTCAGTGGTTAAGGGTCCTTGGGTTTGTTCTGGTACTAACACCAACCTCCTAAACCCCCTCCCCGCCAATATAATCCTGACTGTCTAGAAATCCAGGCAAAAATGTATAATAATTCTAAGACACTTAATTTTTATTTTGTCAATAAATTAGTTCATTTGTGAATGAAAGACATCTGAGTTAATATAACAGTATTAATTTATACAGCCAATTTATAAAAAGATTAGTTGGATCCAAATTATGTTTAAGGCTGTGTCCAAAAAATTTCAGGTAAAGCAGTTCACATACTTTGATTTTTAAAAAGCCTGTTTTACCTCCCCATGTCTGCCCTTCACTTTTCTCAGTCTCAAGTTGTAACAGTGATCCACTTCACCTTTTGAATGTAACCCTCACTGCTTATTTTAAAAGGGACATGTTTTTTCTCTTCCTTTTCTCTTTCTCCTGCTCCCTAACTTGGAGGTGGGAAATAAGATTACCCTTTTCCATCCTAGACCAAGCTATCTGTTCTTTAGCACACACCCACAACTGGAAGGAGATGTCACCAGAAGATCTAGGACGTGACTATCTCCCAAATTAACCACATCAGGGCACACCTGGGACCCACCCCCACCCCCACCAAGGCAAAGCCCTTTGTTTTCCCTAATGGGCAGAAGCACACAGCCTTTGGATCTGGAGTCCCCTGTGCTTCTCCTTTACTGGCAAAACAATAAACCTTCTTTTTCCTTTTTCTCAAAACCTTGTCCTCGTTATTGGATTGGCATCAGGGATAAGGAAAGAGATTTTAGTAAGAAAATTGGTGACCCACAGAGGGACCCAAGAGTAGCCCCCCTCCAGCTTTCTTGGGCAGGCCTGGTTCTCCAAGCAACCCCACTTCCACGCTGAGGATATAAGGTGAACTTGTTGAAAGCTGACTGCTGGAGAGTTAGGAGACGGTGAATTTACCTCAGGAGGGACTGAGGGATTGTCCTGCAGCTGACAGAAGCCCCTTTTGCTTTGGGGAATTCCTGCCTTTCTTCTCTGAACTGTATCACTCCATCTTGATCTACTTTGAGAAAAAAAAAACTGAAGGCAGCAGAGTTGCGACACCTTGACCATTAGATAAGCTTATCCTGAGGCCTTTGATTTTACACAACTGGTTACCTTTGTGGGAACATCTGGTTTGCCTTCATGGGGACCTCTGTGATGCTGCTGGTGTAGAAGTCATGGTTAAGCAGGAGTTGGAAACTTGGGATGAATTTCCCCCCATCTGATCTATTTTAAAGCCTCTGTAATGCCAGATTCGTGGGACCCCAATAGACCTCCAGGAGCCGAATCCGATGCAATCACACAAGAGTCTTTATTGCAAGCTCGAGCCTGGACTCACAACCGTTTTCAACGCAGTGGTCCGGAGGAGTGAGTAGGGATGCATCCATCACAACATCACACAGCAAATCATTTCATACTGTGGGAAAATCAAACAACAACTCTTAACATTCATTAGCACATTCACTGGCGGGAACAAGTTGGGTAAGGGTGATTGGTTAGTTCAAGTGGTGTTTACATTGAACTGATTGGTTTAGGGTTCGAGGGGTTGCAAGAATGTATACGCTAAACTGCAGGGTGGCCTAATTATGTAATCAATCACTGAAACTACTGGGAGAATCACCTGGCATTTCAGATATTTTCCCTGTCTCATGCTGATTGGTGGTTGCTAGGGGTTTGCTATGGATCCTCACCTAGCAGTAACTGAGTCAGGGACTAGGAGCAAACTGTGGGTTTTTCCAAGGACAAGGGTCACTCCTCCCTCCCTCTGGATAGGCCTTGAGGTAGAAGCTGGTTTCTCATAAAATGGAGTCTCATCAGTTTCTCACCTCCTGTCTGTCAGCAGTGGTTTGGGGGATCCTCTCTGTTTGTTTTTTTGTTTGTATCTGATACTGGCCCTTTAAGACATGGACAATACTGGGTTGATCCTATAGATTATTTCTTGGGAAAGATCTTGATTGTATGGGCCACCAAGAAAAGATGATGTTTTACTGTAACAATCCAGCCTTGGAATGGTTTTCTGAATTGTACAATCTTGCAGTTGGAGTTGGACTATCAGAGATAAAATAAATGAAAGAAATTTTGTATGTATAGGCACATATGCAATTGCATAATAAGGAGTCTGAACAGACAAAAATGAATTTGAGGGTATAAAAGCATGCTGCCTCTAATGTGTGAGGATAGCAGGACACCAGAAAAAAGGGTTAATTTTTTTTTTTTATCTTTTCAACTGAGTGCTGAGTGCTGATAGTCCCAGTATTGCTTCTCATCCTGGCCCCAGGCAGCTTCAAATCATCCTGCTTTGGGTCTGGGACACCAGCCCTGGGCTAAAGGAAAAGAAAAAAATCCCAGGAAAACTGTCTGTCTGGCTTTCCTGGCCGGGTAGGCCTGGCCTCTAGGCCTGGCCTCTACCCTTCCTTCCAGCCACTCTTTGCCCATGGGAATAATATCAGAGTTTGAGAACTGGGCTTAGTTTGCTTCTTCTGCTGACAAATGAAATCTATGTGGGCTATAGGCCTTACTGATTTCTTTCTGGGTTCTTGTCTTATGGGTTCCAAAAATGAAATCCTTGGATGGTGGCAGAAGACAAAAATGAAGAAATAAAGTTTGTTTTGAATGAGAGGGAAAAAAAAGATGAAATTCCCTGTGATGTGAGGGGGAAACAGGTGGAAAACTTTTCTGCTTGAGTGTACCAGTCTGGGGATTTATGGCTTTTGGATAAAGGCACTGATCAGAGTTCATGCTGAACAAGCATTAAGAAATGTTGGGGCTAATTGTTGGGATCTATTCTGTAGAGGTGTTGGGTTGGCTGTTGGCTTGGCCCACGACTTTCTAATTGGCTGTGTGCTTTTGGTCCTTAAATCTGAATTTTCCACTTCCATTTCCATTTTCTTGCCACTCTGGGACAAAGGAGTGGACTAAAATGCTGAACTTCACAGGATGGCCTTTACATTTGAAAAAAGAAAACAACACTTTAATTGGGGCCCATTATCCTCACTGTCTGTCTGATGATTAACTACCCTATCTTATGGGGATAAGGGATAAAAGCTGCCAGTCACAAAGAACATGGCAATGGGTTCCAGTAATATTAAATTATAACCTGGGGACAAAACAGGTCCCCAGGACACTATAGATCTGATAGGATGCCCCATTTGGCGGGAGACACTTCTGGGTGCAGCCCTGCCTGTTGCCCTTAGAACTAACATACAGGGACCTCCCAGAGTCCCCACGTAAGTAGGCGCAGAGGGAATATATCTATATCTATATTTATCTATCTATCTATCTATCTATCTATCTATCTATCTATCTATCTATCTAACTAACTATATAGACAGAGACAATCTCTGGGTATAATTGGGAACAGTATTAATGATCTCTGGGTACAATTGACAGTGGGGAACTCCCTTAAAGTTGATGGCATTGTGATGATAATAAGGGAGACTGGTCAAACAACAATATCCTGTGCTCCAACCCTTTGATGTAAACTCGGGGTGGGGAGATTAGATCACAGTTTTTTGTATATGCCAGACTGAAGATCCCTCTCCTGAGATAAACGTTGTTATGTAAATTAAACATACAGATAACATTCTAATCCCGAAAGCAACAACTCCATTTGCAAGTGCCTCTCAAGAAAAGAAAGCAGCCTGCTTTGCTGGAGATCTACTAAAAGTGAGTAAGGTCATTTCTGCCAAAGGGACCCTAAGAAATATGATCAATGTTATCTTAACCACGATTTTGTTTAAGGAGGAAATGACTTGCCCCAGGGAGGAAAATAACCCTTAAGAGAGAGGCATTAATGAGGATCTGTTCTCTTCTGGACAAATGTTTAAAGCATGAATTGAATCAGCTTTGCCAGATACCCTACAATATGCCTATTCTGCCTGTTAAAAAAAAAAAAAACCCTCACACTGATAGAGTACCAATTTGTGCAAGACTTGAGAGCTATTTATTTATTTATTAAAGTGTGATGTCCATTGTTTTAGGATTTTTCTTTGCCAGAGAACAGATGACTTAAATGTTGACCAGGCTTGGTTTTTCATGAATAACCTAAATATATTTGTATACATCTGAAACTTAATACATTTGTTTGAGTCTTATCTAAATGTTCTGTAAAAGTTTATAAAATGAAAGTTCATGTAGGTTTAACCAATTAGTGCTCTCTTTTATATATTGCATCTGGCATAAAAGGGACACACTGCCATTTGAAAAACAGACTTATATTTGTTTGCTTTGACAAAGTCTATTTCAGATCATGATACTGTTCCCTAAATGTGTAAGAGATTTAAGGCTATCCTTGATTTTTGCAAGTATTGCTGGACTCTGCAAACCTATAATTATCTGTGGATTCTGAATTTTATGTGAAAGTCAAACCTAGTTAATATAAGGACATCTGTATAACTGTGATGCTGTTAGTGGCTTCTTTGTTTATTAAATATATTCACACTCTAGTATACGAGTTTTAAAATATAAAGCTTAGGAGAGCACTTTACCAAGCTGGTGTTCTCCAAATGCAAGTTGTCTTTAATGGTTATCTCTTTTAGATTTATTTAGAAATAGCAAATTTAATTGGGGATTTGTTTATGTCATTTATGTTCTGTAACTGGTTAAAGTAACTTGTTATCATTAAGATATATGTAACATTTTGTATTACTTTTTACATTGGGGTGGAAATTTAAATGTATTTTTTGAAAGTTAATAAGTCTGATCTGTTTAAAGGTTAACATTGTGAAACATAAAAACATTTTGCTATTTTCCCACAAAAAGGGGTTAGGAGCTCTCTTAGCTTTTGTTTGATTTGTGTTTCAGATGTAATGTTGTATTGTGTTAACTGATGTTCATATAGACTCAGAAAACAATATATGAGAACTTTGTAAAAGAGGAAAAGATTAGCTTCAGAAATAAAACACCACCTAAGAGTTATCAAGGGCCCCACCTTACCTGAGTTGACTCTGCCTCTCATCTTACTCCATGTCAGGATGATTCCAAAGAGGCTAGACTCATTTAAAGTTATGTTCAAAGGATAAATTTTTGTTGTAAAGATTACTGTGATCTCAAAATAACCAGGGGATATAATATAACTAAGTAAGGTTTAGGATTATGAAAATTATGTTTTTGGATCATAGCTATTATAACTGAATGTGTTTTTGCTATTGTTAATTTCATTTTGTATTTTCCTTGTAAACTTTATAACTGTTGTCTGTTAGTGTTTTGCAGAGGTGCTCCTTCTAATAGAACAACCTGAGTTAATTTGAGATAATAAGCCATCATCTTCAGGATAGACAGGAAATAAGACTGACTTCTAGTGCTAATAATGGCCCCAATTAAATGAAAGGGGTAATTGTAAAATTAAAATCCATTACACTCACTTGAAGACTGGTGAAACTGGTCTGCTGGATGTTTAAAACCAAAAACTTGGAAACTAAAGTATAGGAAGTAAAAGGGCCAAGGAGAAAAGTAGCCAATATTTGGCCCTTGCCCTCTAGGATTAGCCAGCATCCAGGTAACTAAAAGACCCCTTTTTCTGGATACTGAAACTCTGGTAAGTCACCTGATCTGATCTGCTGATCAGGGAGATCAAGGGGACCCTAGAGAACAGGAAGCTAATCTGCACATTTTGCAAAGAGGAGAGTCATTGGAGAGGGAAATGTCCTAATGCTTCCAAGGGAAACAACATGTAGTGGCAAGACCCTGACCCATTCTAGCAGATGGTACAATTGGTAGAGGAAGATAAAATAAGTCAAAAGGCTTCACACGTATTCCCAAGAGTGATCTCTAAGGGAACTCAGCTGAATCTTAACAGCAGATAGGAACAAGGTCAATTTTGACCAAGTTGGTATTAAACACTGCAGGATATAGCCAAAGCACAGCCATATTTGGACATTTGAAAGAAATATTTTAAAAAATGTAACTTAAGATATACACTTGTGTCAGCCCTACAGAATGTAAGTAAAGTGGAAGACTGTAAATAAAAGGTTATTATATGCGAGTGCCTAATATTTAACTATCACAAAGGACTCTAGAGTCAAAAATTTGTCCTGCATTTCGGAGACTGGCTGAAATACTAATTGCTATTGTATAATTGTTTACAAAAAAGTAATACTTTGTTGTCTTGTTTATTATTGTTTTAGCATGATCCATGCCTTATGTATGCCTTATCTAGTCACCTGTCAGCTGCCACCATGGACCTTCAGACTGTCCTGATGCTGAATACCATCAACTGTCCATGTCTCAACTGATAGAGAACAAGGACTTCAGGTTACTTCCTCCAGCTTCATCCTCTCTCAATAGGAAGCAGCTTGGAGATGTCATTGCCCGTTTTTCCATAGAAATGAAAATTTGAAATTGGCAGTGGGGAAATGTAACAGTGGTCCATTTCACCTTTTGAATATAGCCCTCACTGCTTATTTTAAAAGGGACATGTTTTTTTTTTCTTTTCCTCTTCTCCCTCTCCCCCTCTATAACCTGGGAGTGGGGAACAAGATAACCTTTTCCCATCCTAAACCAAGTTATCTGTCTTTGAGCACACATTCACCACAGGAAGGCAATATCACCTGAAGGTCTAGGGAGTGACTATCTTCCAAATTAACTGTGAACTTCAATACCTGGGATGTCTCCCCACCACATGCACCCCCAGTTTAAACCTGGAAATGCAGCCTTTGAAGAGTTAATGGTCAGAACCACCATGGGCCTCTGAGACAGACTGGAGTCTCCTTTGCTTGCTTCTCCTTTGCTAGCAAAGCAATAACCTTTTCTTTTTTCTCAAAACCTTGTCCTTGTTATTGGATTGGCACTGGGGAGAAGGACAGAGATTTCAGTAACAAAATGAAGCTAAAAGCCTCTACATGTTTTTAAATTAAGCATGCTGATTGAAAAAATATATTAAACTAAGCATGCAGAACCAAAAGTGAATTCACCAGGAAAAGTCCATAAGCTCCAAGGCCTCAATAAGGTTAAAAAGTGCAGGAGAAATCCCTGTTAAAAGAACAAAACCTAACCCGGTGCAGTGGCGTACTCCTGTAATCTCAGTGACTGGGGAGACTGAGGCAGGAAGATGGAGAGTTCAAAGCCGGCCTCAGCAAAGTGAGGTGCTAAGCAACTCGGTGAGACCCTGTCTCTCAATAAAATTCAGGGCTAAGGACATGGCTCAGTGGTCGAGTGCCTCTGAGTTCAATACCTGGTACCAAAACCAAAACAAAACAAAATAAAACAAAACAAAACGAAACAAACCCCCGCTCCCAAAACAAAACCTAAATAACATAGAGATCATAGGCAGCCCTGCCAAAGCTATTCCTGAGAGTTCTGGGACATTTTACCTTGGTGAGTTTGAATTAGATTCTGCCCAATCTTGTTTCCTGGATTCACTTAATCAACAGAAAATCATCTCTTTCTTAGACACAGAGGGTAACAACTCAGATCATTTATCCAGAATGTGCCCAAGTGAGTAATTGGCAAGAACATGGAACAGACATGGAGTTTTCCTTCTGTGCTTTATGTACAAAGCACATGAACACACATAACCTAAGGAACAGACACAAAACTGGGCACAAGGTCTAGCAACTATTGCATCTGTTTAACAGCATCAAGTTTCAAATGGCAAAAGCCTCAAATGGTGCAGAAAGGGATTTTGCTCATCATCCTTTCCAATTCCTGTGAAATGGGGACCTCCAGATTCTTGTTATGAGGAAGTACAGAAATTGCAGGGGCAGATGCCTGGAGCAGGGAGGCAGGGCCATCTACAGGGGGTACCAAATAATCCAGGGGGCCGGGGGTATGCTAGGAGAGCAGAAGATATGTATAGAGTAGGCTTCACTTTTTCTCACCCCAGCTGAGCTAGGAAGGTTGTTTCTAGACACTCCCCCCGCCCCACCTTGTTCTTTATACGCTGGGGCTCTGAGAGAAGGAACTTGCCCACAGTCACACTGGTGGGACCCAAGTTAGATGCAGGGTGGGCAACCATAGGCCTCCTTGCAACCCTACCAAGTTATAGTGGCCAGGCTTTTTCCCTTTGGAGGATGCCAGGGTTAGGACAAATGTAGGCTCAATTTGGTGGCCTCATACTTTGAGGCTCCCAATATGTCAGACTCTGCCACTTGCTCATTGTGTGATCTGGGATGGGGCCTGGTGCCTCAGTTTTTCTAGTTGTACAAGGAAGTTAACAGATTCTTGTTAGGCCCATGTTCTTTTGCTTCCCAGAACCACAATGCACCAAAGTAGAGGGGGTGGTCCACAGCTCTATTCACAGATGAGAAAATGAGACCCAGAGGTGGGACACGAGTGCCTGGGGCCCAGGTCACTCCCAGCCTGATAATGTGACCAGGCAGCCAGAGAGGAGGCTTCAGAGGGTCACTGCCCGGAGAAAGGCCAGCACTTTTGCATCTTCAGCTTTCTTTAACCTATCCTCCTGTCCTTCTTTGCCTTGGAGTCACAACTCCACCCCAGCTGAGGCAAGGCCCCCTTCCCCCAACCCCCAATTATGGTTGGTCACAAAAGCTGGACCATGACCAGACAAAGGGACAGAGATGAAAGTGCTGGTTGTCATAGAAACCTGGCAGGGTTGCTGGGACTCAGGGGAGGGGCCTGGCTGTGTGCCTGAGCCCAGGCATCCTGATGACATCTGAGCATGAGCCAGGGTGGCCCAGGGCCCACAGGAATACCCCTCCTGCCCTAGGCCTATGAGACTGGGCATACAATGACAACCTTACCCCCTCCATGAGCAGCACCTGCTTCCTGGGCCTTGCCTGGTGGCCCCATTATCCTGCACCTGCTGCTCCACCACCTGCTCCCTATTCTAGGAACCCTCCCCATTGGCTCTCCCTGTCTATTCCCAGGTCCAGCTGCCTGTTTGAGGGCCAACCAGGAAGGACTGTGGAACCAGGAGGGGTAACAGAAGGCCCCAGGCAGGGACAGAGTGTCCAGCTGCTAAGCCAGCTCTGTCTGACCAGCAGGGTGTGTGCTCACAGCAAATCTCTTGATCTGTGAAATGGGAGCAATCATTCTTGCCTTCAGGACCTCCACATATTCCTCTGATTAGAAGGAGATCTGAGGCCAGCATGTCTCCAGAGTTGGGTCATGGTGGACAGCCCAGTTAGGAAGAGAAGAGGAAGGGGGCAAGTCTTGGGTGACATTCTTGAGGGCCACCTTTGATAGGCTACAAGGAAATTTGAACCCCTTCCTATGCACTGAATGGTCACTGCTGGGTATAATGTTTCTCAGAATCCCCTGAAGGATACAGGTGAACTGGAATTATAGGTATATGTTATAGAGAAATGCAGAGAAATGGCAGCTGTGTTTGAGGACCTCTGTTGCAGGACTTTATTTTTTGGTACTGGGGATTGAACTCAGGGGCACTTTTCTTTTTTTTTTAATATTTATTTTTTAGGTGTAGATGGACACAACACAATGCCTTTATTTATTTTTTTTTATGTGGTGCTGAGGATCGAACCTGGGTCCCACCCTGCTAGGTGAGCACTCTACCGCTGAGCCACAATCCCAGCCCCTCAGGGGCACTTTTATACTAAGCTATGTTCCCAGCCATATATTATATGTGTGTGTGTGTGTGTATGTATTTAGTATGTATTTATATGTGTGTATATGTATATACGTGTATATGTGTGTGTGTGTGTATATATATATAAATTTTTTTTTGGTGGTACTGGGGATTGAACCCAGGGCCTTGTGCATGCCCGGCAAGCACTCTACCAACTGAGCTATATCCCAAGCTCCCTTTTTATATTTTGATGTAGGGTCTTCCTAAGTTGCCCAGGGCCTTGCTGAGTTCCCCAAGTTGGCTTCTAGTTTGCAATCCTCCTGCCGAAGCCTCCTGAGTTGCTGGAATTATAGGCATGCACCATTATGCTTGGCTCTGTTGCAGAATTTTTTTTCGAGGGGAATATGGGGGGTTGTACTCAGGGCACTTTACCACTGAGTCATATCCCTAGCCCTGTTTTGTATTTTATTTAGAGGCAGGGTCTCACTGAGTTGGTTAGAGCATTGCTTTTGCTGAGTCTGGCTTTGAATTCTTGGACCTCCTGCCTCAGCCTCCTGAGCTACTGGGATTACAGGTATGCACCTCCGTGTCTGGATGTTGCAGGATTTTAATTAGCCAAATATTTTGATTAATATTGGAAGTAGCTGGGGAAATTTCACACTAGCTCATATTTATATTTTTCTGAGGCAGACATAGTGAAACATGTCTAGAATTTTTTCTAGCTAAAAAGAATCAACTAGACCTGGCGAGAGCAATTCTGTCCAGTGACATACTAGAGTGAGGTAATGGTGGTGTATAGGTGATGATAGTGATGATGCAGGTAACTGGTGGAGGTGGTGGTGATAGTGATGAAGGTGGTGATGATAGTAGAGGTGGTGATAGAGGTAGGGAGAGTAATGGAGGTGGTGACACAGAGGAGATGGTGGTCATGACGGAGCTGGGGATTGTGGAGGAGGTGATGGTGATGAAGATGGTTGTGATGGAGATGGTGGTAGCAGTGGAGGAGGAGGGGGTGGAGGTTGTAGTGATGGAGGAAGTGATGGTGGTAGAGGAGGTAAGGATGTTGGTTAAAGTGATGATGATGGAGGAGATGGTGATGGTGATGGAGATGTTGAAGGAGGTGGTGATGGAGTAGATGGGAATGGTGGTGATAGTGGAGAAGGAGATGGTGGTTGTGGTGGTGGTGGTGGTGGTGGTGGTGGAGGTGAGGATGGTGGAGATGGGGATGGTAAAGTCAGTGGTGGAGGTGGTCATTGTAGTTGTGGGAGAGGTGTAAGGTTGGTATGGCAGCTGGTATGGATGGTGGTTATAATATTGTGAATATGGGAGTGGAGGTAGGGGAAGTGATAATGCTTGTCAAGGTGGTGAGAATGAAGATGATAGTAGTTGTGAATGGGTATGGTCATGGTAATGATTATGGTGAAGGTAGTGGGGAATGTGGTATTGTTGAAGATCTTGGTGGTGGTAGTGGTGATGATGATGATGGCATTTGTGTGGAGGTGATGGTGGTGGTGGTGGTGGTGGTAATGATAGTGCTGAATCTGATCCTGTTGATGATGGGTCAGCTTAATAAAGAAATGGTTCCCGGGCTGGGGATGTGGCTCAAGCGGTAGTGCGCTCGCCTGGCATGCGTGCGGCCCGGGTTCGATCCTCAGCAACACATACCAACAAAGATGTTGTGTCCGCCAAGAACTAAAAAATAAATATTAAAAATTCTCTCTCTCCTCTCTCACTCTCTCTTTAAAAAAAAAAAAAAAGAAAAAAAAAGAAATGGTTCCCACCAGATAGCAAAGAGCCCAGAAAAGGGGGCGGGGTCCTGTTATGCATCAGTGAATAATGCCCAAGGTCATACTTTGTCTTAGCCTGCATCTCTGATAAACTAGAGCATGACACAA